CCTGGTTGAAGAAAATAGACTGAGCAAGGTCTGAGAAGGGTGACCCTGTCGTGGGGCCTATTACCTTGAAGGAGGCTGGGCTGTAGCTGCAGTAGTGTGAGTGGGCACTGAGTGGGCCAGAAGGCAGCTGTGGTTCAGGAGGCCCTTGAGTGCACTACTGGAAGAGATAGGACTTGGCTTCCAGCAGGGATGGGCCCCTCCTACTGTGGTGCTCCCCTAGCTCCTGTGCCCAGGAAGATCTAGAGGTGAATGAAGGCAGAGGAGGCCATGCCAGTGCCCGAGCAGCTGTTTATTGTGCCTTCCCTCAAGGGTGCAGCCAGTCAGGGACAGCTGGCACCTGAGCCTTAACCGAGACTTCATTGGGAACTGGACTGTGAACTGGGCAGGGACAGACCCTGCTGTGTGGGGGATCACAGCAGGTGAGGAGCCAGGACAATGATATTAGTGACAATGACAATGAGTGACAGCAGCTGCTTTTTTATGGAGTAGTTACCCCGTTAGCAGTGCCATGCTGGTATCTTTTGATATTCTATGTTATCTTAATTACTCCTGTTTTAGAGGAGAAACTGAGGCACAGGAGGATGAAGACACTTGTTCACCAAGTGCACACCTATATGCTTAGCAGGCTGGGACTTGACCGTGGGCTGACTCCCAGGCTCTCAAGCACTGTCACCAGTAGCCGGTGGTGCCAACATGAGACCTTACCAATGTCTGAGGGCACAGGGCTCTGTGGCTGCCCACTGGATTTCTGTAGAGGCTCAGATAAGGGACACAGGCTCCAGAGCCAGAGGGGGGGAACTGCTGGGCTGAATTCAAGAGCTCTCCAAAGGTGATATGGTGGAGTCCAAGAGACCAGATTCCATCCCAGTTTGGGCAGAGTAGCCTACAGGCCTGGGTTTCTCATCTGGAAGGCAGGATCATAACACCATCTCTATTCTGTACTGGTTTCATCAAGCCTGGACTAGCAGCTTCCCCAACATCTCATTTTACTCCCAACAGCCCTGTAGAGTAGATGATTATCCCATTTTCCAAATGAGAAACTGAGGTCCAGAGGTTTAAGTAATGTACAGTGAATTGTAGAAGTGGATTAGATCTGACCACAGGGTCTGCATGTCAAAAAACAAAGCAAAAATCAAACCCAAAACAACTATTGAAGTATAACCTAGATAGGAAAGAAGGCGTAATAGGCGTGAGTGGGTGGTTTGATGGGTTTCCCTGTCCCAGAGGGTCCCCGACCTTTCTAATCACCACGGGTTCAGGCTGCCTGTCCACCTTTCGATACAGACCTGGTAGAAAGCTGGTTTGAGGATTAATTCTGATGATCCTCAGTTTATAAGTGGTTTTTTCCTTGTTCACTCAAGTTGAATACAAAAGGTTCAGTTTCATCCTCAGCCACTTGTAGCTGAGATGCACTCTCAGGCTGTCTTAACTGAACCTAGTCCCCTCTAAATGTAGACCTCTTTGGTGTCCAAATTTTATTAACTTTATTGAATTATACATTTTTTAGAGTTTGCTGTGAGAGGCATTGAGCTGGGGAGGGCCCAGAGAGGAGAGAATCCTGAAGCAGGCTCCATGCTGTCAGCACAGGGCCTGACCAGGGCCTCCATGGCTGTGAGATCATGACCTGGGCAGTGTCAGGATGCTTAATTCAGCTAGGCCACCCAGGCACCCCTATAATTTACATTTTAAAAATCACATCCTGATACAACTCCACAGATATTCACAAAGTGAGCAGCTGGTATATTCAGACAGGGACTAAATCTTCTCAGCATAGCCAAATCCCCAAAGTAACTGACTACCACCACAGATCAGATTTTCTTTTCTTTTTTTTTTTTTTTTTTTTTGGGGTTATTTATTTATTTAGAGAGAGAGGAAGCGAGAGAGTGAGCAGGGGAGGGCAGAGAGGAAGAAGCCTGCAAACCTATAGTATTTCAATATAAAAAGTTTAAAAAAGTACAAATTAAGGCCAATTGCATTAGTACTTGTCAAAGTGCTCTGGGAAAGAGCTGTACCAGTTTAACTCACTTTAAAGCTGTTTGAGAGAGGGCCTGTTTTTCCACATCCTAGTGATGGCGGGCACAATAAATGCTGACTACTTTTACCCACCCAAGAGGCAATATGGTTGTTCAAAATCATACTCATCTGAGCATAAGCCCAATTTAATGGCATTTCAGGCTTTGGTGAAACATTGTTATTTCTTCTTTGAAGTGCCTGCTTATGAGCTTTACTGTCTTACCTCCTTCAGATGTTAGTTTATTTGTATTTATTTGTATTTTTTTAATGTTTATTTACTTTTGGGGGGGGGGAGGGAGGGGCAGAGAGAGAAGGAGATAAAGCAGGCTCCAGGCTCTGAGCTGTCGGCATAGAGCCTGACACGGGGCTAGAACTCATGGACCGAGAGATCATGACCTGAGCCGAAGTTTGATACTTAACAGATGAGCCCCCCAGGCACCCCACATATATTTTTTTAGATGTTACCTAAGAGCAGCTTTCCAGACTCCACTATTTAAAATTGCAACACCCCTCCACTACCCATCTCTGCTTTATTTTTCTTTTCAGGGACTGTTCACCATCTGACTTATTTGTCTTATTTATTTACTTATTTAAGTGTCTGTCTCACTACAATGTCACTGCTTCAAGGGCAGAGAGTTTTTAAGTTTATTTATATTGAGAGAGAGAGAGAGAGAGAGAGAGAGACAGAGAGAGACAGAGAATCCCCAAAGTAGGCTCTGAGTTGTCAGTGCAGAGCCTGACTCTGGGCTCAAACTCACGAATTGTGAGATGGTGACCTGAGCTGAAACCAAGAGTCAGATGCTTAACTGACTGAGCCACCCAGGCACCCTAAGGACAGGGATTTTTTTTTGTCTGTTTTGTCCATGTCTAAATTCCGAATACTAGAAAATACTGGCACATTGTAGGCACTCAATAAATTTCTCAAATGAATGAATGCCTACTTCCTTTCCAAGGTGGGGGGGTGTTTTTTCTTGTTGGTTTAAGAACTCTGTATATGTTAGAAAGATTAGCCTTTTATCACAGAGGGTATATATGTTTTCCCCTATTGATGCTTGCCTTTTACTTTGCCATATAGGGATTTTAAAATTTAAGTAATTATGTATCTGTCTTATCTTTCATGGCTTCTGGGCCTTGTATTTTCCTTCTCCAAGATTATAAAAATATTTATTTTTTATTAAAAATTTTTAAAATGTTTATTTATTTTCAAAGAGAATGAGAGACAGAGTGTGAACAGGGGAGGGGCAGAGAGAGAGGGAGACACAGAGTCAGAAACAGTCTCCAGGTTCCAAGCTGTCAGCACAAAGCCTGACACGGGGCTCGAACTCAGGAACCGTGAGATCATGACCTGAGCTGAAGTTGGATGCCCAACCGACTGAGCCATCCAGGTGCCCCTAAAAATTTTTAAATATATTTCTTCTAGTCCCATAGATTTTCTTATTGCAGCGCTTTAATTAATCTACAATTTATTTTTCTGTCAGATGTGAGATAGAAATAGAACTTTAGGGGTGTCTGGGTGACTTAGTTGGTTAAGCGTCTGACTTTAGCTCAGGTCATGATTTCACAGTTAGTGGGTTCGAGCCCGGTGTCGGGCTCTGGCTCTGTACTAACAGCTCAGAGCCTGGAGCCTGCTTCAGATTCTCTCTCTACCCCTCCTTGACTCACACTCTCTCTGTCTCTCAAAGGTGAAGAGATGTTTAAAAAAAAAGAATAGGGGCGCCTGGGTGGCGCAGTCGGTTAAGCGTCCGACTTCAGCCAGGTCACGATCTCGCGGTCCGTGAGTTCGAGCCCCGCGTCAGGCTCTGGGCTGATGGCTCAGAGCCTGGAGCCTGTTTCCGATTCTGTGTCTCCCTCTCTCTCTGCCCCTCCCCCGTTCATGCTCTGTCTCTCTCTGTCCCAAAAAATAAATAAACGTTGAAAAAAAAAAAATTAAAAAAAAAAAAAAAAGAATAGAACTTTTTTTTTTCAAATGATAAGTCAAATGTGTTTTTCCTAACATATCATTTGCATTTTTCTCTGTCTCCTAACCAACGTTTTAAAGGGCTGACTGATATTCTTTTTATCTGGAAAAATATTCCTTTCCTATTGTACCATTAAGAGAGCATTTATTTATTTCTTGTATTTCATACAAGAATGTAACCTTGGTATTCTACAAAAACAGCTCAGTACCTAACACGCAGTGGGAGCAGAAATCATGGGATTAGGGAATACAGGAACAGATACCTGTGTCCCTACTTCATGGAACAGACAAGTCTTGAGGGCGGAAGGGGAGGTTTTGAGGCTTTCCAGTCCAATGACAAAGTTTTCACCCATCAGTGTATAAATTAAAAGATAAGGACAATTATGCACTTGTGCACACGAGTATGTAGAAAAAATCATTGTAAGGCTGCCAACCATCTCTTAAGAAGGATCCTGAAACCTTGGCTTTCTTTTTCTATTGTTCTCATAAAGTAAATTTCATGTTTGTCAACTCCAAAAGCCAAGGAAACACTGAACTGTAGTCCGGCTCTTCCATCTGATAGTTACTGAACCGTAGTCACTGAGCCATCTGTTTGGTGCGGGCGCTGCTGTCATAGGCGTCGAGGATTTGGTAATGAAACGACCCGCCGGGAGGCCTGTATAGTTGAGCTGGGAAGGTCCACATTCTTGAAACAATTACGTAACAGTTTATTGCCGTCGAGGAACGGGTAAGGAAGAGGTCAAGGTGACAGGTAAACTGCATAGATATAAACTGAAGCCCAGGGAAGTGCAAAGAGTAGACACAGGGAACGGTGTACCTGGGCAGAGGCTTGTCCTCAGTCTCGTGCGCGCGTGGGCCGGGTGGAGACGGGGGCGGGGCCGCGCTCCCGGCGTCCCCGTGGCCCCGCCTCGGCAGTGGCGGGGAGGGGCGGCACGTGAGTGGGGCGGAGCCGGGCCGAGCGGGTGGGGCGGGGCGAAACGGAACGCGCGCATTCGCGGCTTCGTTTCCGGCCGGAGGCCTTTGCAGAGAGCCCCGCGTCCCTAGGGGGCGGCGGCGGCGGCGGCGGCGAGGGCAAAGGGGGGATCCGGAAGTCAACACCATGTCGAGTCTGCACAAGAGCAGGTAAGGGCCACCGGGGCCGACCCAGGCGGACCACTCCTGGCCAGGCCGCCCCCTCTGCCTTGCAGGGCGGGACGCAGGTGCGGCCAGGAAGCGGGAGCCCAGTGTAGCGGCTCTCGGGCGCCCACTTTCCAACCTCATTGCTTGTGGGCCTGAGGGTGCCCGGAGCGGAGGCACCTCTTCTGCTCCCCGGTGTCACCCCATGTCTCTCCCTCATCCTGGACCCCGGGTTTCCCCCTTCCCCTGGTGTCTTCCTCATCCAGGGCCTCGATGCCCCGTTCTCCAGCTCCCCATCCCCTCCCCACCGTTTTTGTCCCCCTTGTTAATCCTCTGCCCCAGTACCGTCCCCTCCAAATGCTTCCTGTTCCCCTCGCCTGGTTTTTACATGGAATGCTGGAGAACCTGGATTCTCCAGTCTTCCTTCCCTCAGGCTCAATCCCACAGCACTGGCCAAATTTTGTTAAGTCTTCAGTTTTTCTCCAGGACTCGCTTCTTCTTTAAACCTTTTGTCCTTGCCTACTGTCTAGCCCAGAGGTCTTCTAATGGTTGTATTTTTGAGCCTGGGGAGCTGCGTGCAGGTTACATAGGTCCGTTGTCTAGGGATCACATTACTCCTGGTTCCTAGTGGCACTATGGGCTGGGCCTGGCCAGCAGGAAGTGCCCAATAAATGCCAGCTCACTAAATGTTAGAAATGTGTCTAATTTCATGGTGTTTGCTTGAGAACCTCTAGAGGAATATCTCTATGTTCCTGGGTTTGGAGGAAGAAGTGATCTGTAATTCTGTAGTTCCCCTAAGGTGCCTTTGGCCAGGACCTAGGCTGAGCTTTGCTGTCTTTATGTCCTGAAGGGGTGGGAGGAACTGGTTGAAGACTGTGATATGAGAGCTCTGGGCTTCAGAAGTGATCACTAAGTCTGTCACTCTGGGGTTTGGATGTGCTTCATTTGCCTTCCTATCCGACTTCTAGGATTGCAGATTTCCAGGATGTCCTGAAGGAGCCCACAATCGCTTTGGAAAAGCTTCGGGAACTCAGTTTTAGTGGTAAGCAGCAGCTCTCCACGTTCAGGGTTTCCTTAGAGCAGCATTGTGGTTAGGATGGAGGGGAAGGTGCCCAGGGCCACACCTGGTCAGTTCTAGGGCGGCCAGCCTGCCTCGTGGGGCCTTCTGCTGATTCTGGGACTCTCAGCCACCCCTGACTGCCCTGACCGCCAAGAGCAAGCCTCGGCCTTAGGATGCTTCCTGGGGTGTAAGCGGTGCTTGCTGCTGGCTGAGGGTTACTGGAGAGGATCGAATGCGGGAGCCTGGAGCGGGGAAGAGACTCGAGCCGCTTCGGGGTCTGCCTCACTCCTCAGCAAACTTCCTGTGTTGTAGAATTTGGTTAGCTGCAGAGCAGTTCCTGATTCTCTCCCAGGCTTGGGGATTACAGCTGACTCAGGCAATGGTGAACTTTGGTTAACGGTAAAATTCTAGCCTTGAGACCCTGACTTTAAGGAGCTGAACCCCAGCAGTGTTTGACTTTGCCCTCCCTGGCATGGTTAACCTTCCAGCACAGAGATTTTTGCTTATCTTTTAAAATATCCTAAGGTGTTCTGTGTGGATTCTTGTTACTGCTCTGCCCTTGTGACTTGGTCAGCAAGGAGTTCTTGTAGTTGCTTTTCTTGTCCCCATGCAGATTCTGAGGAAGGTGGGCATCAGCTCCCACTCACGGTATTAGGGGTACCGTAGCAGCAGCTGCTTTAGTGAGGCTCCTGACAATATCGCAGGAGACGTTTGTCTTTTGTTCAAGAATGATATTTAAACCCTGAAGATCTTGAGGGGTCATGGGGTGTGTACTGAGCTGAAGAATCTACCAGGCCTCGGGGAAGCCATTGTGCGTTGAGTTTGGGCTGTAAAGTTAAGACAGACAGACCTGTGTTGGAGTCCCCGATTGCTCTGTCAGTACGGATAGGTTTCTTTATCTGGAAGGTGAGGATGACAGTGCTAATCTTCTCTACTTACTAGGGTTGTAATGAGGGTCAAGTGAAGTAATGTCCATAAGGCACAGAGTGCTTAGCATTTATAGCTTAGTTTATATTCCGCAAATATTTACAGTGTCCCTGCTGTGTGCTGTGCCCCACGCTAGGGGCTGGGAATATAAGGCAGATTTGGTTCTTCTCTTTCGGGGGCTCACCCAGCTGTCGGTGTTACAGAGGTTAAATAAATCCGCAAACCATGTTATACAGTCCTAACTGGGCTGGATGCTATGAAGGACAATTCATGGAGCCATTATTGTTTATAATGAGAGACCTGACTCCAACTGGGCAGAGATGGTGGTGGTGGGTAAGTGCTGCTCTGAGGAAGAAATACCAAGGATGAGAAGGCGTTATCCTCAAAAGAACATTCCCCACAGAGGGAGCTCTGGGGTGGGGGCAGGGGTCATGGAGAGAAATACACAGGATTAGCCTGTAGTCCAATGATTTTTCTGACAGGAGATGATTCTTGAGGAAGTATTTCTTGCACTCCATTCCTTGCCCACTGGCTCTGAGGTGGAGGGCTGGGGGGGTCTGGGGGCTCTGGCCTGGGGCGTGACTCTTGCCTGCTGTGTCCACAGGCATCCCCTGTGAGGGCGGACTTCGGTGCCTCTGCTGGAAGGTGGGTGTGCCTGGGGTGGGGTGCCTGCTCTGCCAAATGTCCTTGGGTTCCTGCATGGCCTGCCCCCGCCCTGGCCCCTTCCCCTTCTTCTGCGCCTTTCCTTGCTTGTCCGAGGAGACTTTTCTGGGAAGTTCTGGGTTTCTTTTCCTCTTGGCATCCCCTCCAGGATTCCCTTGGGGCAGGAACACGTAGTAGTGGCAGTGAAGCTCTCTGCTTCCTGGTCCGCACAGGGCAGTAGAAGTGATGCTTAATGGGACAGAAAGAGGCCATGCTTTGCCCAAAGCTATTAGCCGAGGTGGGAGCAGAAACCCAATGTCTTGGTTTCCAGCCTCTTGAGCTCCAGGTTTCCTTATCCTTTGTGAGGGTCTCTGTGAGGATAAGCAGAGGAAAGGGTGGGTTTGGGATAAAGTGGAGAGGAAAGGGGAGGCTACCCCCAGCCCACACCTGCACGCGTGGGTTTCAGCCCATCTGGTCTTCTGGCCTTTATTAGACATTTTCCTTGAGGCCTGTCGGCCTCCACCTACTGTCTGGGGTTGGGCCCAGGAGTCGACAGAGCTTTGTTCCTCTCCCTCTGTGCAGATTCTCTTGAACTACCTCCCCTTGGAGAGAGCCTCATGGACCTCCATTCTGGCCAAGCAGAGGTGAGACCACGAGAAAGGGGGGTGACGGGAGGGCTTTCCTATCAGACAGCAGGTGGTGCTGGGCCTGCCTTGCCTCCTGTTGCTGCTTCTCTGGTCCAGGCTCCCTGAACGAGACCCTTGGGATCATCCTCTCTCCCCTTCTCTCCTGCAGGGAGCTGTATTCTCAGTTCCTGAGGGAAATGATTATCCAACCTGGCATTGCCAAGGCCAACATGGGTGTGTCCAGGGAGGATGTGACCTTTGAGGACCATGTGAGTAAGGGTCTCAGCAGGGGCCAAGACTACAGAGTAGGGAGGGATGCAGGCTTTGGAGCCAGAAGTTCCGTCTGCCCCAGAGGACAGATGTGGCCAGTCTGGGTCCCCTCTGGACCATCCAGTACCTCCTCTCTGTGTTGGGCCGCTCAGCCCCTGGAGGCCGTCGTCTCTCCCTTCTGCTTCCCAGGCGCTGGGCCTGGTCAGGAACGTAGGCCATGAATTGGGGTCTTAGTGTGTGTGTAGAACTGAGCCAAGTCCTCTGTGTGTGCTGTGTCTCCTTTCCTCCTCGCCTCTGTTCCCTGGGGAAATTTCTGTGATTTTATAATTGAAGAGAGAGCAGGGCAGGAGTGAGAATAAATGGTCTTTCTGTGGCCTGGAGGGAGCCTCATGCTCTCCTCAGATACTGAGCCCCTCCCCTTGTGCAGAAAGTGGAGATGGATGGACCCAGGCCCGTCCTCCAACGTTTAGACTTGACGATTCCGAGCAAGGTGAATTAGATTCGAAGAGACCTGATAATACAACATGCGTTCATTCAACAAGCATTTAGTGAGCACCTGGTATATGTGGCATTTGAGACAGAAAGGGTGGTCCCTGCCCAGCAGGGGTGTCCTCAGAGCAGAACGTGATGTCGGAGGCTCCCCAAGTAGCTCACAGGCTGTCTCAGAGCCCCCGCTGGGCCTCTGCTCAGGCCCCCCCCAGACTGGAATCTGCCCCCTGGGGCCCTGGCTGGACCTGGGACAGAGCAGCTCATCCTCTCCCCTCAGCCACTCAACCCCAACCCCGACAGCCGCTGGAACACATACTTCAAGGACAACGAGGTGCTGCTGCAAATCGACAAAGACGTCCGGTAAGCAGGGGACTGGGGGTCAGGAGTTGGCCCGTGGGACTTCTGGGGGGTTTCCCAGTCCTGTCCTTTCCCTTTGCAGCCCACACCCACAGGCGGGTGTTTGAGGAACGGCTGGAGGCTGGTCTGGTAGGTGGGTCCAAGTACCAGTGATGTCGGCCTATGAACGGGGCCAGTGACCGAGTCGAGTGCCTGGCTCTCCTTTCTCCCTGCCTTAGTTTCTGTCGTGCCGCAGGTGTTTATGGGTTCATTGGATCCTTCCTGCGACAGATACTGAGATCCCACTCTATGGCGAGCTCAGTGCCGAGCTCAGGGTTGAGCATGGAATTGACAGACGTGGTCCCCTTCTTAAGGAGCTTAGAACCCGGTGGGGAGGATGGTTAGATAGTCCTTCAGCAAGATGGGTCTTCCGTGTAATTAGCATTTGTGGTCAGTGCCCTGAGGGAAGAGTTCAGGGTGCTTTAAGGGTTGGGGGGAGGCCTCGGCTGAGGTCTCAGGAGTCAGAGGCCTTGGGGGAAGAGGGAGGGAAAGACCGTGGTGGTGGGGAGCTGCCTGCAGGAAGGCCCTGAAAGTGCATGGAGGCATGTTCGAGGAGCAGTGGTGGAAGCCACACTGGAAGGAGGCGGGGGTTGGACCTTGGACTTGATCCCAAGGGCATGGGGCAGTCATGCAGAGGTTTTGAGCATAGGAGTGACAGGATCAGATGAGTGGTTTTTGAAAACTTGTGAGCCTCAGTGTGTGCCTGGGCGTGCTTTTCCGCTTGGCAGAGAGACGTGGAAACACGCTCCTGCTTCCTGTGGGGTTGGCGAGTCTGGCAGTGGGTGGGATCTCCCACAAGGCTGTGTGAGGAGCTGGAAGGGAGGCCTCCCTGCAGTGGGGCTGAGTGGTTGGAGCTGGAGATCTGCAGTCAGTTTGCCGGGTTTCAGTTCCGCTTTCACCGGGTGCCGGCCGTGTTTCTGGGCCCTCGTGGCCCTGGGCGCTGCTCCTCTGTCCGTGCTCAGCTTGTCCGGCCCCATCTTCAGATGGCCTCAGGTGGACACCCAGCCCAGCGTGGCTCAGCCAGGATGCAAAAGAGGGTCTCGCCTCCTGCATTCTCAGGGTGGAGTTGGGGCGGCCTCTGTGCACGAGGTGTCTTAACAGTTTGCGTCAAGAACCATGTCTTGAACCCGGTTCTAGAGAAACAGGTTCTGTCTCACACTGGTAGCGATTGTAGCATGTCATTCAGTGTTTTTGGGGGGGCAAGTTTGCAACGTGCTGGGTGTAAGAAGTCTGGAAAGCGTGCCTGTGCTGCAGTAACGTGCACGAGAAAAACTTTACCTGTTGAAGTGACGCAGCGATGTGGGTCCATTATATCTCAGTAAAACTGGAA